ATTATGTTAGTCAGTGTCCACTGCTGCCATGAATACCTGAGAGGAGCAACTCAAAGGAGTTGTTGCTGGGAGCGAGGTTCGGTTGCTAGAGTGCTTGCCTGGCGTTCACAGAGCCCTGGGTTCAGTATAGTATACACCAGGCTTGTGATGCTTGCCTGCCAGCACTTGGGAAGTGGAAGCAAGGGGTTGGCAGTTCAAGGTCACCTTTGGATACAAAGAGAGTTTGAGGCCAGTTATGTGAGACCTTGCCTCGAAGGAGAAGGAAGATTGAAAGATTTGGCTCCAGCTTCGGAGGATTTACTCCTTTGGGCTAGACACTGAGTGGGACCCCGTGGTGGTGGAGACCTGCTTACCTGCTCACATCATGGTGGCTGGGAACCAGGGAGACAGCAAGCTTCCGACAGGGTTTTGACCCCTCTAGACCTGTGGTTCTTCTCCCTTCAAGTCATGACTTCTTTCTTCATTTGCTACACCACAGAGCACTGGACTCTGGAACTCACCCCCCCCCCCCAACACACACACGGAGGTGTGGGCTACACATCTCTCAACACGATCAGCTTGATAAGATTAACCTTCAAGGGGCTGGAGAATTGACTCAGTGGTTAAGATGGTTAAGTGGCTAAGTGGACTGGGGTTCAGTTCCCAGCACCTACATGGTGGCTCACCACCATCTATAACTCCTGTTCCAGGGGATCCAGTGCCTTCTTCTGACCTATCCGGGTGCTGCACACACGCACATGCAGACAAAACCACTCATATACACACAAGAAATAGATCTAAAATAAGTTTTTAAAGATTAACCCTCACATTACTCAGCACCTAGTCTCCCATCTGCTTGAAGAGAGGGTCTGTTTTTGATCCTCAAATGGGGGTGCACAGATCAGGCCTACTTTGGCTTCCTCAGAATCCATTATGATAACTTTCCCCAAAGGGTGTTATGCCAAGGGAGCAGAAAGGTCCCCAGAGTAAAACAGTTCCAAGAATTGAAAAATGTCTTTATTCTTCTCTTAAAACTAAAAAAACAGGTGACCTGGTATTGGTGGCACACACCTTTAGTCCCAGCACTGGGGAGGCAGAGGCAGGCAGATCTCTGGGAGTTTGAGGCCAGCCTGGTCTATAAAGTGAAGAGAAAACCTGTCTCAAACCACCCCCCCAAAAAAAAACAAAAACAAAAACTTAAAGTGGGCTGGTGAGATGGCTCACAGGATAAAGATGCTTGAAAGCCCGAGAGCCCGAGTTGATCCCAGGGCCCATGTGGCGAAAGGAAGAGAACTAATTGGCAGGTTGTCTGTCCTCTGACCTCCACACAAGCACTGTGGAATGAATGACTCAGTCAACCTGTTAACACATTTATTCGAATTTTGGAAAAAACAACCCACAGGGCTTCCAGTAATATATCCATTAGAAACAACACTTAGGGCTGCAGAGATAGCTCAGTGGAAAGAGCGCTGGCTGCTTTTGCAAAGGACTGGGTTTTCAGTTCCTAGCACTATGGCAACTCACAATCGTCTGTAACTCCGGTTCTAGGGCACCCAGTACCCTCTTCTGACCTCTGTGGCGCTGCATACACAAACAGCACATTCATGCAGGCAGAACACCCATACACACTAAATATTGTTTTAACTGACATTAAATTTTTAAAAGTTTCTAAACTGAAAGCAGAGACAGAGTGGAGTGGGGTGGGTGGGAGGGGGAAGAATGAGAATGTATGGAGGGTCTGACACTGTCCAAGCTAATGGAGACCCAAAAGCTGATGCTGGTAGGACATGCTGGGCTGGGCTTTGTGTTCAGGCATACCTTCCTTAGGTACCAGGCTGGAGCATCAATTAGAGGTTTTTAAACTCCAGCCTCTATCCTAGACCCTTTAGACCCAGTAGTGATAGAGGTCTGAGACCCCAGCAGAGCACTTCAGAGGGGTCCCAGCTCTGGAGTCAAGGTCTGAGGTGGGCCTGTGTGTATTGCCAGACCCTCTGCCATATTCGTGATTGTTGGCCTCTGACTCACTCCTGCCCTCTGCCTTTTCTCCACAGCACATCACAACTCACCACCGGGGCTCAACTCCCCCCTCAGCAACAACTCAGCCATGCCACCCACCCAGACCCCTGAAATGCCCCAGCCCCGCCCCTTCCGCCTGGAGTCCCTTGACATCCCCTTCTCCAAAGCCAAGCGTAAGAAAAGCAAAAGCAGCTTTGGCGGTGAACCTCTGTGACCCAGCTGCCTGCTGCTACCTGTCCTCAGGCTTCTAGAAACTTCCAAGTCCTCCCCATGAAGCCCCAACCAGGCCTTCTCTCCCCTGCTCCACAGTGTCCCGAAAGCCCGAGGAGATCTTAGCCCTGGGAAGACACATTCCCTTCCCTGTTCCCTAGAGAACTCCCTTTGGCCCAGGGCCTGAGCTCTGTGGAAGTCGGACTGCCCTTCTCAGAGAGAGGTCTGCCCCAGCTGTTCACAGCCACAGAACCTGCACTAGCCAGTGTGGGTCTACCTCCATGGGCTCAGGTGACACTGGACCTCACAAGCATCCTCACCGTTGAGCACAGAAGCTGCCACATGGACAAGGTTGAAGCTCAACACCTCGATGACTAAGCTTCGAGCCTCCCTGTGATGGGTCCCTTGCAAGGGAGCCTGTGCCACACAGCGGATACCAATGGAGACCTGGGGCCTACTACTATGCCTGACCTATTATTGGTTGGACCACAGCCCAAAGAAGGTGCTTTATTTAAGCTGCCCAATAAACTGCCTTTTAGAATAAGCTCCCCTACCCAACCCTCTGGTGCTCCCCCCTCCCTTCTCCAATCTATTGCCTCAGGCTGCAAGCCAGCAGCTCCAGGGTTGCTGTTGCCAGTACCGTAAGTGATCTGGGCTGTAGTGTGTGTGTGTGTGTGTGTGTGTGTGTGTGTGTGTGTGTCTGCACATGTGTGCCCGTGCTTGCATACACACACACACACACACACACACACACACACACGTCCTCACAAGAGCCCGTGGAGATCAGAGAGCAACTTCGGGTATCATTCCTCAAGCACTTTACCAGCTGAGCTCCCTCCCCAGCCTCCCCGCCGCCTTCTTTTTTTATATTTATTTGTCTACTTATTTATCCAGTGGGGCGGGGCACATGGTGCACATGTGGAGGTCAGAGGACAAGCTGTGGAAGTCACTTCTTTCCACCGTGTGGGTCCCTGGGATTGAATCTAGGTCATCAGGTTTGGCAGCAAGTGTCCCTACCCACCGAGCAGCCCCCCTTATGTCCCAACCACCAAGCGCCCCCCTTTTTTGTGTGTGCCTGGTTGAGGGAGCATTTGCCATGATGCTTGTTGGGTATGGAGTTGAGAGTGGCTTCCAGTAATGGCTGCCCTCCTTCCACTGTGCGTTCTAGGGATCGAACTCGTTTATACAGCAAGAGCTGTTACCTGCTCTCCCGCCCAGGCTTTGGGTTTTGAGTCTTCAGGGGCCTGTACTGAAACTGGGTGTCTTGTTGTCATTTGTTCCCACCCATTTTCTTGTGTGTTTGTGGGGGGGCACAATCAGGGAGAACATGGGTCCTGAGCCACCTCTGTCCACTGGAGAAGTACCCCTGTCATGGTGCTCTGTGAGGGTTAGAGAGAGTGTAGTGACCTGCTGCCCTCCTATATCAGTTACTGTGGTAGGCCCAAAGCCTTAACCCAGGGCTAAGCCAGGGCAGGTGAGGCCACCAGAGAATGTGCAGGAGAAGCAGTCAGGGGAAGCCAGCTCAGGTTTCTATGGGAGCTCAGGGTGTGTGCTGAAGGCCAGTAGTACTCAGAGCAGGGAGAGTGGGGAATGAAGCTATGGACGTGAGTTTGGGTGGATACCTGAAGGGGTGTCCTGAGCAGTGAGAGGCACACCCCTAAAGTCAGTGTCAGTGGCTGCAGAGAAGTTAGGAGCAAGAATCTTTTAAATTTTTTGTATCAAGATCGATTTATATTGAGACAGGGTCTCATACAGCCCAGACGGGACGGGCCTTACACTTGCTATGTAGCTGAGGATGACATTGAACTAATTACTCTGCTGCTTGCATTTCGAGTGCTGAGATTACAGGTGTGGGCTACTAAGCCTGGTTTTATATGATATTGGTGATCAAACCCAGGCCTCCATGCCTGCTAGGTAAGCATTTTTACCTACATTTTACAATCCTAGCCCTTTACATTTTTTAGTCCTGAGCCTTGGGTTGGTGTGTGCGTGTAAGTCAGAAGACAATTTGCAGGAGTCGGTTCTCGCCTTCCATCTCGTGGGGCCTAGGGATCGAATTCGGTGTCAGTCTGGCAGGCAAGCTCCTTTCCTAGGTGAACCATTTTGCTGGTACCCCAGATCTCACTCTGTAACCCTGGCAGGCCTGGATTTACTAATCACAAAGATCCGCCAGCCTTTACCTCCCACTTGAGAGCTGGGATTAAAGTCACGAGCCATAATCCCGGGTGTGAAGAGTCTTTTAACCGCTAGGCCTGTCCCTTTGGCCATCTCTGCTGTTTGGGGCCAGGAACCCACTTCCCCACCCCATTGCTCCATATAGATAAAGGCCTGCTTCCTAGTGCTCTAGACCAGTGAGGGACAAGGAGGTGTCACCCGCACCCCGATCTCGCCCAAGTGGCGACAATCGTGTCCAAGGGGACAAGGACCACCAGCCCAGGAAGGAAAACTAGACCCTACAGAACCCAACATTAGGATGATTTGACGCACGGCGGGAGCCCGCACGGAGGAGCCTAAGGGTGCCTGGCTTTGTTGATTGGTCGCAGCTACAGAGCTGTCTCTTCTGGATTTGCCCTTTTCCCTGGGGGAGGCGGGGCCTCAAGCTCATTCCTCCAATAAGATGCAGAGAATCAGCTTCCGACGGGGCATTTCCGGCGGCGTTCCCCGTTTCTCAGTCCGTCTCCGCCGCGGCATGGGCTGCGGGGCCACGGAGGACCCGGACCACTTCCGGGTGGTACTCTACCGCCTCGAGCGTCCATTGGGCGGCCGCGAGGGGCACTTCCGGTGTCCAGGTGCTGGGCTCTCCAGCAGGAAGATGAAGATGGATCTCCACCTCGCCGCCCGTGCCTGGCCCCTCTGTGGGCTGCTGCTGGCCGCACTCGGCTGTGTCTGCGCCAGCGGTCCCCGCACACTCGTGCTGCTGGACAACCTCAACGTGCGGGACACGCACTCGATGTTCTTCCGCAGCCTGAAGGGTGAGCGCCGCGGCGAGGGCATGGCCGGCCGGGGTTGGGAAGCCCAGGGGTGGGGTGGCGGCACCCTCCAACGGCAGCAGCAAGAGTTCCTCTTCTGAACATCTGCTCCATCTCCCTCTTCTCCAGACCGGGGCTTTGAGCTCACCTTCAAGACCGCAGATGACCCCAGCCTGTCCCTCATTAAGTACGGGGAGTTCCTCTATGACAACCTCGTCATCTTCTCCCCCTCCGTGGAAGGTAAAGGTGGCGCGGCGCCCCCAGAACTAGCTGGGATTCGAGGTGCAGGACTCCGTTGTCTTCTTGTGGTTCCCAGGCATGCTCTGGGTCTCGGGATGAGTTTCGAAGAACAGTAGAGGAAAATGTTAATTCCATCCTGAGCCTTGGAGCTGTTGTCTTTCAAAATGATAGACGCTTTGCTTATGGAGCAGGGGTTTTTCCCTAACAAAGGTCCTGATAAAGAAGTCCCTGATTTGACTTGCTTGTTTACCAAGAATTATCCCATTATTAACGTGGATTGCTGTAAAAAGCTATTCTGCAGGTGGTAGATCACAACATCCCCACCCCCGAGCCTGAGAGCCTGGTGTTCCCAGACCAAGAAGAGATGATGGGATGATGGGGGATCTCATTTTTGTCTTACTGAGCTGTGTGGCTTTCCCATAGCTGTAGCCTCCTCGCTAGGCATCTCCAGTTCCTTTGGCTATTTATTTGTTTGCATGGGTGTTTGGTCAGCATGTATGTCTCACCATGTGTCTGCCAGAAGGTGGTGAATCCCTTGGAACTGGAATTGCAGACAGTTGTGAGCTGCTGTGTGGGTGCTGGAAATTTAACCTGGTCTTCTGTAAGAGCAGCCAGTGCTCTAACCACTGAGCCATCTCTGCAGCCCTGGCTGTTTCTCTTTTGCCTTGCTGTTTTGGTGAGCACGGTGGATAGTCTTTGCATTTTGCATTGTGTTGTCCCTGTCTGGGGTAAGATGTTTCTGCTGTTCTTTCAGTTGATGACACATAGATGGCTTTTATTTCCCTGGCAGCTACTTTGTATTCTGTAGTTCACACAAGACTGGGTTCTGCCAGCTGTCCAAAGTGTTTTCCCCAGCTCCTGCTGTTTCCCTTCAGGTCCCATGGGAAGCACCCCCCCCCCATCACTTCCTCCTGGTCTAGGAATGCTTTCACAGCCTGACCTCGCTGTGCCTTCTGACCCACATGCCACCTGTACCCAGCTCCACCTTGGAACCAAGTCACATGATTCTCCTGCTCAGAATCCTCCAGTGGCTCCCACCTGCCCCAGCCCTCCAATAACTGGCCACCTCACCTCACTCCTGGTCTCTGGTCCAGCCCTGTAGCTCACCCTACTCGACAGACTTCACACCTGATGTTTATTCTGCCTGAGTGCTCTTCCCGAATGCTGTTGCTGTCCAGCTTACCCTTCCATCTTCTCATGTTATCACTGGTTGAAGGCTCTCCTCACTAACCTTGGCACAATGGCTCCCTTCCCTCATTGTCCTATTCAATCTTCCCAGTCCATAAGAAACACTTAGCAAGGAAGCACATTATCTTACATTGAACTGCAGACTCACTCTGGAGATAACTCTAGAGTTCATCAAGCCCCACCCTGTGCCAGTTTGGAGGCTTATGACAGCGGTGGTTAATTACTAAGCGAATGACCAGCACAGGGTAGGCTCTCATCCTTCAGATGTTGGGAACCAACAAGCCCTTTGGGTGATGTGGAAAGCACTGAGTGGTTCTGCTGTGCAGAACAAGAACAAGGAAGCTGTTAGTGTTAGGCCATGAGCCTTACAGTCAAGTGGCAGTATCACCTGTGGGTTCTGCAGTGCCTTCCCAAACAGCTTAGATGGAGTGACATTGGTAGAATACTGTAAAGTGACCGGTGCTAGTGATGGCAAAGGCTGTGGGTGTCAAGGCATCTGGGCATTTGAACAGCATTGCTCTGTGAAGTGTGGGAGGAAAGTGCAGAATTTCTTAGCAAATAGATGTGGTTTGGAGTATGTTCTGTCACCTCATTGTTATTAGGACATGTTTGGTGATTGTACCTGAGTGACCGAGGTATTGCTCTGGGCTTCCCTTTGAGGACACAGGCTTGTGGCATGTGACTTAGATGTGGTGAATTTACTTTGCCTCTAATTTTTGGATCCATGGGAACCTACTCAGATCAACTGTGGCTGCTCTGGAGAGTCTCCCATCTCCATCCAGCTGCCAGGAAGTGGGGACAAGACTGTCTGGTCACAGTGTCTGGGGCCTTCTTTCAGATTTTGGAGGCAACATCAACGTGGAGACCATCAGTGCCTTCATTGACGGTGGTGGCAGTGTTTTGGTGGCTGCCAGTTCCGACATTGGTAAGTCTGCCCTAGGAAGTCCCAGGGCTTTCTACTGGTTCTCCACAGAACTCAGCTTTATATGCAGGAGCTGCCAATGTGGCATTGGCTAGGTGAGCCCTGGCCAGGGAGGCATTGAGGGAGCTGCATTGAGGGTCCTTCCTGTACTGTCCTGTGACTAGAGATGGTGAGGACCCTGGTTGGTCTCCTCCGTCGTTTGCTTTGTTGTGTTCTGTTGAGTGGCTCTGCTCTGATGGGAGCAAGGAAGTCAGGGGAGGCAGTGGGTAGGTTTTGCTCCAGATTCTGGTTTTGAAAGTTGTACAGCAGCAGCAGGGAGAGAGTTACATCCTCAGCTCATGTGTTGGTCCCTTGGCTTCAGCAGTGAACAGCTCAGGGCCACGTTCCTCTGTGTGGGTCTCTTGGTGGGGTGATGACAAGGACTGGTAAGCTCAGGCCTTCAGGCCTGTGAAAGCCAGCATTGGCTGTGGCTTTGCTAAGTTTGGTAAAGGGGTCTGTGCAGAACCAAGTTGTTGGATGTTTGTGCAGGGAGAGGGGAAGGCTATTGTTTAGGTTCGTTTATCTTCTCAGCCCTGGAGGGGATGCCCCGCCTGATGAAGGTGCTGGGTACTATGGCTAACCAGAAGAGGGTGAGCTATGAAGAAGCCATGACCTACACTGTCAGGCCTGACAGTCAGGGTTCAGCCAGGCAATCTCTTGGATCTGTGCAGGTGACCCTCTTCGGGAGCTGGGCAGTGAGTGTGGGATTGAATTTGATGAAGAGAAAACAGCTGTCATTGACCATCACAATTACGATGTCTCAGACCTTGGCCAGGTAAACAGGCTTGTCCCTTCAGCTGTCTGGAATACACAGTGAAGCTCAGCTTTGCTTGTAGACCAGGAGGAAGTCAGAACGGGCTCCCCAGCCCTGGGACCCTCTTCTTGACCTGGTTTCCCTGCACCTTTGCAGCATACGCTCATCGTGGCTGATACTGAGAATCTGCTGAAGGCCCCAACCATTGTTGGGAAGTCATCTCTGAACCCCATTCTCTTCCGAGGAGTTGGGTGAGTGAGCGGGGGCACCAAGGGGACCTGGAGGCTCAGGGCTCACTCTTTGTTTGTGGGCATCAAGCCAACTTTGTTTTGTTTTTTGAGATAGGGTTTCTCTGTGTAGCCCTGTCTATCCTGGAAGCTACTCTGTAGACCAGGCTGGCCTTGAACTCAGATCCACCTCCCTCAGCCCCCCAAGTGCTGGTGTAAAAGGCATGTGCCACCACCACCTAGCCAAATTTAGGGTTGAGAATGTTCGTTCCCTCAGTGGTAGCAGTGAGTTTTAGAGGAACTCTAAGTGATGGGAGAGGTCATTCTGTAAATATGTTTTTCATATTGGTTAATGAATAAAACTGTTGGCCAGTTACTGGTTTCTTATCTGTTGGCTCTGTCTTAAATATTAACCCATTTCTATTAATCTAAGTATTTCCACGTGGTCTTATCTTACTGGAGAGAGGGCCCAGACTTCTGTTCTCTCCAGTCTCTATATGTTGACTCCTCCCTACTACTTCCGGAATCCTCCTTGTCTCCTAGTCCCACCTATCTTGCTTTCCTATTGGCCAAACAGTACTTTATTCATTAACCAACACAAGAAACATATTTACAGAATGACATCTCCCATCATCTCTTTTTCTGTCTACGTGTCTTTTATCTGGTAAACAATAACATTGCTAAAATGAAAGCCAAGTCTTGGCTATTGAGAAAGGATCTTTCCTGGTCAGATGTGGTGGTGTATGCCTCACTGAAGAGGCCGAAGCAGGAAGATTGGGGCTCCAGGCCAGCCTGGCTAGTGAGACCCAATCTTTGAATGAATGAATGACAAATGAGAAAGGGAAGAGAAGAGCTGACCTCTCTGGGAAGAAATGGAAGAGCTTTTCTCTGGGGGAGATGGCCTGGGACCCTGTATCCTGCAGCTGCTTCCTGCTCTGTGCTAGGCTTCTTTTTCCTCTCCCTTGCAGAATGGTGGCCGACCCTGACAATCCCCTGGTTTTGGACATCCTCACGGGCTCTTCAACCTCCTACTCCTTCTTCCCAGATAAGCCCATCACCCAGGTAAGAGCCTTTGCAGCCTCCAGCTCCTGGACCCAGTGGCGGCACTTTCTAATTTGAAAGCCAGAGCAGAGCAGGGGAGGTGGGCTCTGTTGAGACTGATAAAGAGATGATGGGACTGAGGACTATGTCCTCCCTCAGATGGGTGGGGGACATAGCCGTGTGGGTGTCAGCCTGCTGTCTTCTTGTTGTGGTGGCTTTGCTAGTACTTTGGTGATACCCAGCTGACTGCCCCTTCTATTCCCAGTACCCCCACGCGGTGGGGAAGAACACTCTCCTGATCGCGGGGCTCCAGGCCAGGAACAATGCCCGGGTCATCTTCAGTGGCTCCCTGGATTTCTTCAGTGATGCCTTCTTCAACTCAGCAGTGCAGAAGGCCACACCCGGCGCCCAGAGGTAATGCCAGAGCATTGGAACTTGAGATCTGTGTGCAGCAGGAGGAGAGCCTTTTGAAGTGTGTGTCTTCAGGGCTTCTCATTATCCACAGACTTCCTTGCAGCGCTGCTGGCATAGGTGCCCCACGCTCAGCTCACCAGGGTGGTAGTGGCTTGTGTGGAGCCCTCTCACCTACACTTACGACGGGCATAGGCCCGGCTCAGTCTCCAGCACCAAAACAGATTGGGATTGATTGATTGTGCAGATGACCCTTAGCAACGCCACCTCAACCTTCATTGTTCAGTGTTTTCCCTTTAGCCGTGGGCCAGTAGGTGTGTGCAGCCTCCTTTCCGAACCTCCCTTAGAGTGCCCTGGCCTGGTAGACAGGGGTGGTCTCCAGCAGGAACCCAGCAGGAAGTGGCTGCAGCCCCAGCCTCTCCTTTCCCTCCTCCAGGTATTCTCAGACAGGCAACTATGAGCTAGCCGTGGCCCTCTCCCGCTGGGTGTTCAAGGAGGAGGGCGTCCTCCGAGTGGGGCCTGTGTCCCATCATCGGGTGGGTGAGATAGCCCCACCTAATGCCTACACTGTCACCGACCTGGTGGTAAGAGCTCCTGGGGGTGGGCGGACGGGCCCTAAAGTTTTGACCAGGGTGGATCAGTTAGCTCAGGGGTATTCAGGATGAACATGCATTTCACTCTGTCCCTAAGAGAGTCAGCAGTGTTAACGGAAGCCCCTGTGGTGGAGTTGTAGTGGGGTTTAGCTCCACTGAACTGGCTGGGAAGTCAGACTTACCAGAAAAGTGGCATGGCAGGTGAACTTCCGGTTGGACTTTGTGGGTCCCTTGTCACTGCCCAGACATTTGTCAGAACCTGCACATGCAGGATGGAGGGGCGTCTGTTAAGGATCTCAGGCCCAGGGAAGGCAGAGGTGTTGCCAGCTATTGGCCCAGCTAAGGAGTGGTCAGCTGTGCTCTGTGACTGCAGGCACCGGGGGCTTCCACGGGCTGCAGGGCTGAGTCCCTGCCATGTCTGTGGGGTGGGAATTGAGGGCAGTTGTGCCTGGGTGTGGTCCACCTGCAGCAGCTGGCATGCCCAGCTGATCCAGCCCCTCATCTCAGGAGTACAGCATCGTGATTGAGCAGCTCTCCAATGGCAAGTGGGTCCCCTTTGATGGTGACGACATTCAGCTGGAGTTCGTGCGCATTGACCCCTTTGTGAGGACCTTCTTGAAGAGGAAAGGTAAGTGTGATGCTTGTCAGAGAAAGCCACACAGAGTGGCCACCTGCCTGCCTCAGGACACATGTTCCCTGTGAAACCCTCCTGGTCTGAGTGCTGTTGCTGCTTCCCCAGGTGGCAAGTACAGTGTCCAGTTCAAGCTGCCTGACGTGTATGGTGTGTTCCAGTTCAAAGTGGATTACAACAGGCTAGGCTACACACACTTGTACTCCTCCACCCAGGTAAGCAAGGGGCCGTCTGCTTCTGGCCAGCAGGTGTCCTTCTTAGGCCTCCCGGCCACCAGGGCCTGCCACCTCTGTCCTGTTACAGGTGTCAGTGAGGCCACTACAGCACACACAGTACGAGCGCTTCATCCCCTCAGCCTACCCCTACTATGCCAGCGCCTTCTCCATGATGGCCGGGCTCTTCATCTTCAGCATCGTCTTCTTACACATGAAGGAGAAGGAGAAGTCTGACTGAGCCGGAACCTGGGCTCCTCCATACAGCAGGGGGATGGCAAGAGGGTTTCACTGGAACTGATGGGTTGGGTTTTTGTTGTTGTTTTTTTTAAAGGCCATGGGGAAATGGTACAGCCTTACCTCAGTGAGTGGTGACTGTGGGGTGGGGGGCAGGGAATAGAGTTTTTTTCTGTAAGTTTTCCCACTTTGAATCACTCTGGCATTTTTCATATGGGCAGCCACCCCCATTTCTAAAATAAAGAGAACATCTGCCCTCACCCATCACCTGGCCCCTCACACTTCATGATGGCAGGGCTGCTGTCTAGGGATTACGTGCCAGAGACTGGGTGTCTTTTAACTCTCCTCACAGAGGGAAGGTGGGAATCACACAAAGTGGAAACTAGAATTTCAGTGCTGGACTAAGAATTGCTGGTGAGAAGACCATTGAGGAACTGGAAAGATGAATTGGTGGTTAAATGCACTGGCTGCTCTTGCAGAGGACCCAGGTTCAATTCCCAGCACCCACATGGCAGCTCACAGCCGTCTGTAATTAGTCCTAGGAGATCTGATGCTCTCCTGACTTCTGAGGCCATAATGCATTCAAGTGGTCCATCATATGTTCAGGCAAAACACCAATAAGCATAAAATAAAATAAAATACTTTTTAAAAAGCTTGAGTTTATGTTCACTGGCTTTAGGCTATACCTGTGTTCTTATCAAGCACATATAAACTGTATGTGAACCCTCCCTCACTGTTAGGGTGTAAGAATCATAATATAAGCCAGAAACTCTGTTCAGCACATCATACTCTGCTCCGCATTGTAAATTTGAGTTTAATATTTAACAGCTTCTGTAAGCCAAGATACAACTGTCCAGCGTGCTGCTCTGTTAGCTCCTGTGCACGGATTGCTTCCGCTGTGCTGGGTAAATCCAGACACAAGTGGGGGATCACTAAGAAACATCCTCACCAGCCTAGGCAGACACCCAGCATTAGAGCATGGTTTTCCTGCTACTCTCTGGACATGAACATGTTCTGCACATAAGTTGCCCTTAGCCTAGGCAGCACATTCCAAGCAACACCATGGCCACCTCTGTCAGACAAATAGTCCATTCCTGGCACTAGGGACCATATCAGAAACTGCTACCCACTGCCTTGTCTTGGATCTGGGTGATGGACTGCAGGTCTGAGCCCCTCAGCCCATCCTTTCTACCAGCACAGCCATTCCTGTACTGGGGACAGTACGGGCAGGGGCTGTTTTCTGGTCAGCAGTGGCACCGAGTGAGGGATTTCCCCTGGTAGGGAGAACACACTACCTCCAGATGTACACAGAGTTCAGCCTCACACTGTCTTTAGCATGGATATTTGTCTTTAGTGACCAGTGATTGGGAAACGCACCCGTGAGCCATGCTGTCCTGTCACTGTCACTCACAACTCAACGTGGTTTTGGGCATTTCTTTTCTGCTTTTCTTTTTTGAGATAAGGTTTCTCTGTGTAGTCCTGGAACTCACACGGTAGACCAGAATGGCCTTGAATTCACAGAGACCCGCCTGTCTCTGCCTCCAAGTGCTGGGATTAAAGGTGTGCATCACCACTACCTGGCCGGCTTTTTTGCATCTCTAAGTAGTTGGGGGGGGGGAATGAAAACAATTTACTGACAACCAAATTTCAGTGTTGATTCTGCTGCAATAATTGTCCTTTTGCCTCAGTGGCAGGTGAGTCATTGCAATTAATTTCCTGTCTGGTCTTCTACAGCTTGCCAACTCTAGATTTGGCCTGATGTCTATGGGAGAACTTAAGTGGGATGGGCCGGCCATAGGACTTATTCAAACCTGACAGCTAGTGAATGTATAGCCTGAACTATTGGAGGCCACTTAACATTTGCTGAACCTGCGGCTTCTTCTGGCTGACCTGCCCCCCCCCACTTCAGCTTGTCCCCCGACTCCCACCCACCAGCCAAGCCACTTCCACACACCATCATGACACAGATGTCCCCCAAGTCTTTTAGTAACTGCAGCACAGAGCTATCACGGGGCTGCCCTCCAGGAACGGAGGAGGAGGGCTGCCTGGCAGAGTGCCTCACACTCCAGGTTAGCCAGGAACAGCATCTGTAGCTTTGTTTCCACACAGCTCTTCTCCATCAGCCTGTCAGCCAGCAGAGTGGCTGCTGATTGCTGGAGGAGCCAGCCAATCATCTTGTCCAATTTCAGATTCTTCAGGGCTAGAAGATGCTCACCCCAGAGGCTTAAGTGCAGCACGTTTGCAGCCACACGTGCGGAAGGTCTCTGCAAAGCAATGGAAGGTGTGGTCAGTACCTGCAACAAACACTTGGTCTGAACTGTGTGCTGAGGGAGTGTCCAACAGCTGCTCCCTAACCGAGCACAGGCCCTTGCCCATGACAGCTCTGCTGGGACACCTTTGTCATTGAGGGAACACATGTCTGGGTTCTAGTGCAAGAGGCCTCACCTGGTGTGGTTGCCCAGCTAATGCTGAGTAGCTGCTGTGTGTGAACAATGAGGGGGTTGAACAGGGGCTGTGAACAGTGAGGAGCATGAACAGTGAGGGGTGTGAACAATGAGGGCCGTGAACAGTGAGGAGCATGAACAGTGGGGTATGAACAATGAGGGGTGTGAACAGTGAACATAAACAGTGAGGGGTGTGAACAGTGAGGGTGTGAACACTGAGGGGCGTGAACATTGAGGGGCGTGCATGCTGCAGAGCAGCAGGCTGAGACCAGGTGTGTCTCAGGTTTTTCTAAGGAGCCACCTGAGCTGCTGCAATTATGGCTCAGGCAGACAGACAGACCTCAGCGCCCCTGTTTGTCTGAGAGCAGCATTTCCTTCCCCTTGTGGCATCTTTGTTACACATGTCACAAAAACACATCCTTTTCTCTCTAAGCCACTCTCTTATTTAAATGAAATTAAAATATTTTGTTATGTTTATTGGGGGTGGGACTGAAGGAACTGGTTCTCTTCTACAATGTGGGTCCTGGGGATCAAACTCAGGGCATTACAGTTGGCAGCAAGTGCCCTTATCCCCCGGGCTATCCTGCTGGCCCTAGGGTTTACTATTACTGTTGGATGTGTATGATGTGTATGGATGTGTGGTAGCACATGTGTGGAGGTCAGAGCATAGTTGGGGGTCAGCTCTCTGTGTGTGGTTTCCAGGGACTGAACTCAGGGTGCAGGTGTGCCAAGCACCTTGACCTGCTGAGCCATCTCACCAGCCCATCCTTCTAAGCAACTTCCCACGTAACCAAAGCCAAGAGAACTGGGGGGCATGGGGGATGGTTCTTGTCCAACATTCATGTGGCCCCGGGTGTGAGCCCCGTGACTGGGGAGTGAAAGGGACCCAAAAGATGCACTGCTAAGACTCTGGTGCCTAGGACTCTGATTATGGGCTCGCTGGCCAGCTTCCTGCTCCTGTTTCTTCTTAAAGCTGTTTTGTTCTTTAGTGGGCCTTTGCCTGTATATAACAGAGTTTAACGCCATAGGGCTTGCCTAAACTTGGCCTTGACTCAGACATGAACTCACCCACACAGTCCAGAGCCAGGGGATGGCCTCACCTTGCTGGCCTCTCGCTGGAGCAGTGACCTCGCCAGTTGTCTTGCATCTGGAGGCACAGACTTGGGCATCTCAGGCAGCTGAGTTTCCTGATAACTGCGGCTCTCAAGGTGGGCTCTGCCTTGACCATAGAAAGGATTGGCAAGCCCAAAGATTTCATAGGCGATGGCTCCCACAGCCCAGGTGTCAGCCTTGCTGAAGTCAACTACTGTCCTGGGGCCAGGATGGGCTGTGGACACCTGCAGGAAGTAGACAGTGAGAGAGAGAGAGAGATCAGACCCCAGCAGGCCTACCATTTGTGTCCAAGCATGTCACCTAAGCTGAGATCAAATCTGAGCCCAGAATTTAAATGCACCATGGATGGGCCACTGTGGCCTGGTTGATGCTGACAAATGTCCAAAGACCTCAGGTCAGCCTAGTTAAAGCAGAGCCGCAGAGCAGGAACCTTCGTTTATTGGGGAAACCTAGGAAACACCAGCTGATGGCTCAACACACATACAGCAGGACTCACCTCAGGGGCCATCAGGGAACCGTTGCCACCGAGGTCCACATACCAGCTAGTGAAAGGCAGCTGCAGGCCAATGCGCTCGTCAGCCAGGCAGCAGCCGAAATCCGAGATCACCAGCCAGGGGCAACTGTCTGCAAAGGCAGGGGAACTGAGCATCAGGGTCTGCTCCTGCCCCTACAGTCAGTCTCTCACAGGTCCCTCCAAGAGCCAGCACCAAGACATGGATGAACTGGCGACGTCCAAGAGCCCAGGCCAGCAAGGCCTGGATGGGAGTCATTATGAATGAGCTCACAGCAGGGCTGGCAACAGGTACATGGAACTGTCACCCAGAAACAAGGACTGAAGCCCAGGCCCAGGCAGGGAACTGACTAGATGGGGGGGGGGGGAGGGTCCAGTGGAAAATGTTCTAGTCAACTAGATCTACCCACAGACCAAAGGACCTCAGCCTTGGCTAAATAATTATGACCTTAGAGGGTCTATATACCCTATGAGTCAGGTTTAAATTTGTAATGCCAATAAATCTAATAAATGGGCCTTGGGAGATAAAGGGGTTCACACAGCTCCTTGAAAAAGCCAGTTCAGGAGTGGGAGAAAGAACTGTGGTTGGAATGTAAAATGAAATAAAAAATTTAAAAAATGGAAAAAGAAGACATTAGGAAAAAAAAAGCCAGTTTACTTTTAGCTTTTTAGTTACACATTTAATAATTTTAAATTTAAGTTTAATTTTTTTTGTTTGTTTTGTTTGTTTTTGAGACAGGGTTTCTCTGTATTTCTTTGGAGCCTGTCCTGGACTAGCTCTGTAGACCATGCTGGCCTTGAACTCACAGAGATCCGCCTGCCTTTGCCTCCTGAGTATTAGGACTAAAGGCGTACACCACCACTCCTGGCCTTAAGTTTAATTTTTTAAAAGACTTATTTTTATTTTTATATACATGCATGTGTCTGTCAAGTGTGTGTAGGTGCCCACAGGGGCCAGAAAAAGTCATCAGATCTCCTGGAACTGGTGTTACAGGCAATTGTGAACTTCCACATGGATGCTGGGAACCAAATTCAGGTCATCGGAAGAGTAGAGCACACAACCACTGAGCTCCCCAGCCCTGTGACTCCTTTAGAAAGTCCCCAGCAGGTGGCTTCTACCTGAGTGCTGCCTGTGACAGAGGAAGCCAGACTCTACCTTTCACTGGTTCGAGAAGAACTGCAATACTAATGGTATT